ATGCATGCCACTCCCCAAGTCCACTGATAGGGGGGTTCTCCTCTCCTTTCTGATCTTAGTCTATCAGTTCTCATCAAAAGTGGCTGCATTGTCCTCTACTGTGGCCTGATAAGGCTGCTCCCCCGTCAGGGGGAAGTGATCAACGAGCAGGCCAATCAGATTATGTCAGAGGCAGTCCCTCTTCCCATTACTATGTAACCCACTTGGACACTGAACTGCCATGGGCTACATCTGTGCAGGGGTTCCAGGTCATCTCCACGAATAGTCCTTGGTTGGAGTATGAGTCTCTGGGAAGTTCCCTGTGTTCAAATTATCTTGTTCTGTTGCTCTCCTTGTGGAGTTCCTGTCCCCTCCACAAAAATGTATTTTTAATTATAATAATTTTTTTGAAATAGAAAAAGTGACAGACATTGGGAATAAGTTGACACAAAGGTCTAAAACCTTTTTTCACACAACCACATTTCATTTGAGAAAACACCACTCTCCCAGCCTTGGCCATATGGTTACACGAGGCCATATGATTGGCTCTCAAGTCAAGCACGTGACCTAGGCCTGGCCGGTGAGACTTCCACATTCTCCCAGCCCCTGATTCAGACCTGCCAAGTGTCCTCTCTATGGGACACTGGCGGCCTCTGACAAAACTAAAGAAAAGCAGACTGTTCTCACATAGCTGCTAAGCTCATGGGCACCAAGCGTCCATCTCCACTGTAGCCCAGGAAAAGCTGTCTGTAGCAGGGGAGCTGGGGAGAGCTGCTTCCTGGGTCTCACCTCTTAGATCCAGCTGTGACTGAAGCCAAACCTCTTGAGCCTTTCCCCAACATATGTCACTGTTTGTTTATTTTGGCCAAGTTTAAGCTGGACTTCTGCCATGGCCAGCCAAAATATCCCAAAACAACCTACCAAGAAGCTCACATAATTCGTTGAAATAAAAGAAAAGCCATGTTTGATTTTGGCAGGCTTGTGATCAGCCAAATGAATTATAAATACTTGTTTCTTGTCACTGCGCCACGACTTAAAGAGGCAGGGAACGGGTAAAAAGCTTACCTCCACATGCAGGCTTGTTTTAGGATTTACTCTCCTGGTGCTGTCACATTCTGAAGGTTTGTGTTTTAATTCCTCACCCCCATCCTAGGGCCTACTTCTGTCATCTCCCTCAGCACAGACAACTCCCCAGTTTCCTCAGCCTTTCTTGCTCTTTAGCCTAGAAGTCTTCACACATCTCCTGCCTTTACCGCAAGGATCACTAACAGACTTCAATATCAAAAGCCACATGAGACCATAATTAAGCAGAAACACTAACAAAACTGTGGTTAACTGTTCAGCGTGGATGTCTCTGATAGTCAGATCACAGCTGATTTCTCTTTAGAAAAATAGTACTTTTTAGCTGGGCAGTGGTGGCACACACCTTTAATCCCAGCACTCAGGAGGCAGAGGCAGGGGATCTCTGGTGAGCCTGGAACAGCCAGAGCTACACAGACTTGGAAAACTCTGTCATCATCATCATCATCATTTCCTGTGGTTTCTAAATTTTTCTGATCTTCCTGCTTTTTGTTTGGTGATACGAGGACCAAAGCTTCATGCATATTAGGAAGCATTCTACCACAGAGCTCCGGCCTCAACGTGCTCTTACTTTTTGTTTCTTTGAGGCTGGCTCTCACTAAGTTGTCCAGGCTGGCCTTGAACTTGCCATCCTTCTGCCTCAGCCACCCAGGTAGCTGGGATTAATTACAGGCCTGAAAACATCAGTTCTGACCTGCTATTTCTTCTGGAGTAGAAATACACTTTTTTAAAGTGTTTCTCCTTTCTATTTTGGCTCAGTCATTCCTCACTCCACTCAACTGAAACCACTGGCCCCAGGGAAGGGATATGGTGATGGCCACTGCCAGCTGCTCCTCTTCTTTTTCCAGTCCTGCTGACCTCTTGAGCACATCCACCATCCCTGTCCTTGACTCAAGTCAGAAACTGTGGCATTATCGTCCAGTTCCCTTCTCTTCCTTCCCCATTCAGGCTTTCAACACATGGGCGGCCTCTAATGCAGTGTGATTCTATAGCCCTTCTCTTCCCAGGGTCCCCACTTGATGGCTGCCCTCTGTGGCTCCAACATAACTCCCCTGTACCTCTGTCCTCCCCATTTCACACAACCCTAGACCACAAACATACTCCTCTAATTCCTCCAACTTCAGGTTTTCAATGGCTCCCAAAACATCCATACAGGAAGCCTAGCTATCAGCCTGTAAACAAAGGCCCCTCACACATCAGTCCATTTACACTTCTGTCCCATACCAGAGGCTCCAGGAGGCCAGGAAGGGCCAGGCCCTGACCCTGTGCCCTTCTCCCATGCTCCTCCCTCTACACAGGCTCACCTTTCTTCCTTCCTCTCTGCATGAACTCCTGCTCAGCCATGAAGCCCCAGCCCACGCACATCCTGCCTGTTTTCAGGAAGAGCACCTATCACTGCATCTTGGTCAGCAGCAGACAGTGGTCTACTGAAGAACCTTCTGTTACATGCTGGACTGCTGCACACAGAAAAAGGTGGCTGAGTAGGAAATGGAAAAGATGGTGAGAACTGACACCTCCCCTACAGCCAGACTTCTAGAACATTTTCTATTCGACACCCCTTTATGCCTAAAGAACTGTCACGTGGCCTCAGGCACACTGGTGCATAAAACTGACATAGAAAGATTTAATAATAATAAGTTTTAAAGAATAATCTTTAAAGTTCATTGAACTTTTCCACATATTAAAGATGAAATAAATTGGTTCACTAATGAGATGGATGTGCTTACTTATTTTTACCTAAAGAATCAAATCCTGGGTCAGCGAGAGGGATCAGTGAGTAAAGGTGCTTGCAGACAAACCTGATGACCTGAGTTTGATCCCCAGGGCTGATGTGGTGCAGAGAGAGCTGTCCTCTGACTGCCATGTGTGTGTGCTGTGATGTGCGTATATACAGCACGCACACATACGCACGCATAGACGCACATGCGCACGCATAGACGCACGCACACACGCACACACACAAATAAATAAATAAAAACTTTTTTAAAGGCATTAGTCATGTCTTGGCTGGAAATCTGACACTACAGGACATCTAGCATCCTGAACAGTTTTCAGCTTATCACATTTTATTTTTAATAATAAGTGCCACTTAAGACGGCCTCTTCATTGGATACACAGTTTACAAGGGCAGAAGTGTGTTTAGAGTCGTTCCAGAAACCACTGGAGACTCAAGCACTCCACCAGGAATTTGAAGCAAGTGATTACTGTTTCTTTTGTGCCCGAAAGTCTCACGTGAAATGGCTAGTTAATTCCTAGCAATCTTTGCAACAATGCTCTAGCCCTCTCTAAATTCTTCTTTGTGGTTTAAAAAAAAGGGAAAAGGCGGGTTCTATTTTTATTACTGGAGCACTGACAGCTTTAATCGTCAGCCCTCCCCGTTCAGCCTGATAGCCACCCAAGCCGGGCAAAAGGCTGCACATTTCTTCCCTGTAAGGTCAAACCCTATCCTTGTGCAGGCTCTCTGCTACAGCAAGAAACAAAGGCTTGCCCGTCCCTCACCGGATCTACGTGGACCACTTGGGGGCAACCCTCATCCCCTCCCCAGGAAGCTCAGCAAAGAACTTTTCCATCATGTGACTAACTGGGGACAGAACATTAATTACAACCTCCACGGCTGCGGTTTGAAGGTGAGGTGACCACACACACACACAAGTCCATGTGTCAGCTCATGTGGCCTCCCGCTGATGATGCTGTCTGGGAAGGTTGTGGTGCTTAGAGGGTGTAGGCCGGCTGGAGGGAGCACCATCCTGGGGTGGGCCCGCTTCCTACTCTCTCTGCTTCCTGAATGCTGAGGCAAAGTGAACAGTCAGATTCCTGTCCCTATGCTCGCCTTTCCCACCTGTTGCCCTGACTGCCCTGCTCAGACTGTCTGGAACAGTCTGAAAGCAACCCTCTCTCCCTTACATTGTTTGTCAGGTTACGTTATCATAGCAACAGAAATGAAACTGTGACAGCACTGTGAGCAGAAACCCCTGAAACCATGAGCTCTTATACCCGCCTTCTTACATCTAGAATACAGATACAGTTAGGCAGAACGGAGACACCGACAGCATCCTGAGCATCAGAAACCTCACACAGAGACGTGTGACTATTAAGTTCTCAGCCTGCAGTTCAGCTCAACACGGGTTATATGGAAGGATGCCTTGACCCAGGTTCCATGGCGATAACAAATCGCGTGAGGCTGGGTAAACTGCAAATAATAGAAGCATATTTGAGTTGTGGTTCTGGATTCTACAAAGTCCAAGAGCACAGTGAACTGTAAGCTGGCGTCTGCTAGGGGCCTTTAGGCCGTGTCAGAATACGGCAGAGGGCATGGAGACACAAGCAAACATGTTTGGTTGGTTTCTCTTCCCCTTCTTAGCTACCCCCTAATCCCGTCACAGGACCTCCGCCATCATGACCCCAAGAACCCCAATTACCTCCCCAGAGCTTCAAAGTGTCAACAGTGGGATCTGAGGATCAACTTCCCAACACATGAACTTCAGAAAGACACAGTCAAGGTGCAGAAAATGGTTGCACAATTCTCCTGAGTGTCTAGGAATACCCAGGCATTGCTACCAAAATGACTGAGCATTCACGGGAGTAAAGGACAGCTCCACTTTTCCTCCTGATCAGCTCTGAGACACAGCAGAGTCTCAGGAGCTACATGTTGGCCTCTGTCGTCATGAGGTGTTGCACAGGTTGGGATGGACAAACAGCCACTTCTTCTAAGTTAGCATGCCAGGGTAACTGAAGGACTAACACAAAAAGTCACAGAGTAACATACTTGAAATAGCACTTAGTCGTAAATCAAACGATAATAAAAAGTCTGCAAGTGCACAGCACAGAATGTGTCCCATATCTTTTTAGCCACATCTAGATTCCTAAAGGTCAGAACCATGAGAAACAGCTTTTCTTGAAGAGAGAGCTTATAAAAAACCTCCAAAATGTCAAGTACTTACACATCTTTAACTGCTCCTGTTGGACCTGGGAGGGAGGAGAAAAAAATGTATCAGTGTGATGGTATTTCTAAAAATCAAGTCCTTTATTTAATGGGTTGGAACATTCATATGTTGAGGGGTACGGAGGACAGAGGGGAGAGAAAGACAGACAAACAGGCAAGCAGGCAGAGACACTTTGGAATTTAAAATCCTTTAAACCATCATCCTAAAATTAAAAAACAAAACAACCAGCAACAAGACATTTTTGATAGTATAAATAAGTAATAAACAACCAATGCCTCAAAAATGAGGAATTTCAGAGTTGAAACAAGCAGAGGATCCAGAAGAAACACTAGAAAGAAATAATATCCTTCTTAGTTTTATTCATGGGAGGGGAAGAGAGGTCCCTGCTCCTTTGTGTGGTAGGCGTGAGAGTTTGAGTCCACAGCTGCTGCAGAGCACCTAGGGCAGTCAGGAAGCCTGCAAGCTCAGGGATGGCGCAGCCTCGGCCCAGAGCTGGAGGGCAGCATTCTGACGCAAGGGGAGACTTCTCTCCAGTGTTTGTGTAACATTCACTAAACATTATGCTCCCATGTCTAGTGAATGGAGACAGCCTGACAGACAAGGGCAGCTCTGAGGGCAAAGCACAGTCACCTGTGTGGACCATGTTCTTTTAAAACCGTGTTGTGTAATCAGCCCTCATGTCAATCAACCATCAGGAACTCTCCATCCTCTTCACCTTGATTGCGCCAGGCCCTGGACACTGTTAGAGTCTCCCCTGCTGGACTCAAAAAACTGTGTCTCCTTCCCCAAGAAGCCCACATCGCTTTCCTCCTCCAGGGTATCTGTGAAAGGCAGTGTGTGCTTAACAACTGTGGTGGGGCGTGGGGCGGGGGGGCAGGCCTAGGCACACTTCATCAAGAGCAGATGGGAGTGGAAAGCACTCGTCATTTTCAGAAGCAGAAGGGATAGCCCTTCTGAGAAACCAGGTGACACAGGGAGCTAACAGCCAGGGTAGGGAGTGTGAGGATCTTCACGAAAGCTTCATTTCAGAGGGCTTTTTCTGAAGATAATTGTGTAATGTTTGGATACCTGTGGCAAAATTATCAGAGTACAAAGGTACATAAAATGTGAAATTTAAACCCACTTTATCCTGAAAAAGTGTCAGCTCATAAAACAATAAAAAAAAAGTGTCTGTCCTCCCTGTGGCATGTTAATCACATTTACTTTATTACAATAAACAGATCAAGATTTCTAATCTAATTTATGTCAAAAATGCATTGACCAGAATTATTCAGATAGCAGGGGGAAAAAAAATCCCACATGCTTTAAACTGTATTTGCAAGTCATTTGATTTACAATTTAGTCAACAAATGTTTAGAGTGGTGCGCCGACTTCGCCATGGATGCTAGGAATGCATCATGTATCTCTGCTAAAAATTAAATTAAATTAAAAAAACAAACCTTTGTTTCCTGCCAGACTGCCTCTTTGCTTTTAAACATAGCATTTGTGCGGGCCTCAGAAAAAAACAAGACGTGAGGGGAGGGGCTGGGGAGATAGATGGTTTAACGGTTGAGACCAGCCACCATCACCTACATTCACACGATGGCTCACGAACATCCATAACTCCAGTTCTGGGGATCCCACACCTTCTTCCGACCTTAGAGGGCACCAGGGAAGCATGCTGAACACACACACTCGGGCAGCACACTCAGACACAAAATCAAATCAAATAAAACTATTTAAAATTCCTCTTTAAAGCAATGGAGGGCAGGTGACAGTGTCTTCTATGGAAAGGAAACTGTAACTGCTTCAACTATGGAAGAGAGATCACTTCTTTCTGAAGGTAACTGTTTCTTTAAGACTTAAACATGATGAGTTCACCTTAATTGTTTTACCTTCCACTTTACACTTCAGAACAATTTCATTCTTGTATCCATGAGTTCTTAAAAGCAAAAGGCTGCCATGTAAAAATGCACTGCAAACTCAATCACGCCAAGTATTTTATTTTTAATCTGCTATTTGGATGCCATAGAGATCTGTTTGGTCTTTTCCCTTGGTTCTTTAAACCCTTGGAATTTCCCTTGCGGGCAGCATGCTAGGACTTTTTATGCAGAGACTCTTGTCCGGGTAGGTCCTGATGTAGCTTCAGCAGCTTCAGCATGGGGAGGCGGTGTCCAAAAGACCAAACCGTGAGAAGCCTGAGGCTTTGGAGTATGCTCCTCAGCCTCCAGGAATCCATCCCAGTTCCTGGGGAGCGTGGGCACTCCGAGGCACCCTTCAGCTAGGGGCCACACTAACCTTCCTTCTAAATCCATCCTCCCACCACCTGTGCCTTCTCCCTGCCCCGTTCCCTAGCTCCTCTAGTGTCTCATACAGATTGATTTTTGACATAGTCTCAAGTAGCCCAGACTGGCTTCCTACTCTTTAGCTAAAGATGGCATTGCACCCCTGATCTCTAGCCTCTGGCATTGAACTCCTGATCCTCCTGCCTCCACCTCCCACAAAGTGCTGGGACAGCAAGTATGCACAAGCACAACCAGCAAGTATATTTATTAGATTCAGGGTTCAATCAGACCATCTGGTATCATCTACTTGCCTCAATGTCTTTCACTTAGCTATATATCCAGAAGGGGGAGGATTCAGACATCCCGAGGGTCAGGACAGGGCACAGCTTTTTAAGGAACACCATCCAATCCATGATGACCTCTTATTCCTGTCCTTCCTCTTTTTAAAAAACAACAACAAAACACTTCCTGAGCCAGCAAGATAGCTCAGTGTGTAAAGATGTTTGTAGCCAAGCCTGATGACCTGAGTTGAATACCTAGGACCCACATAGTTGAAGGACAGAACTGAATCCAACAATCTGTACGCTGACCTCCACAACCATGCCATGGTGTGTGTGCATGCACACACACAAACACACACACACACACACACACAGAGAGAGAAATGTAATTAAATGTTTTTTAAACTCTGATCACTCACTTAGCATTCATGAGGGCCTGGTTCAATTACCAGCACTAGTAAATTAGTTAGTTCATTAATTACTTAAAGAAGCTCATGGGAAAATTCATATCTGGGAAGACTATATCCTCTGTGACACACCTCACATTCCAGGAACACAGACAAAATGTTATTCCTAGAGAATCACCATGCCAGTTCCACATTAGCCTGTAGATGGCTGCGCGCGCACATCATCATCATCATTATCATCATCATCATCATCATCATCATCATCATCATCATCATCATCATCTTGGTTCAAATAGGCAGATGTTCCTCCATGCAGAGTGAGTGTGAAGAAGAATGAGCCAGGCTGCCCAGAATGTTCTTGGTATTGTTAAAATTTGCACACTTGTTAATATGAGAGGTTCCTGACACTAGCCAAGAGAATATCTTCTTTCCTCCCACTCTGAGCGCTGGCCACAAAGCCAGACTGTAAGAATGCCAGGCAGGAGCATTACCACCAAGCCCCGCCCAACCCAAGAGGTCTGCCACAGAGCCCCTTTTCCCTGCTGAAAGAAAATCACACATTTTCACAATGGGAAAAAATGTAGCACAGCTTCACAAACTATTCTTCTTAAAGTGGAAGCAATCAGGAACCCAGACCCCGTTGGTACTTATGGGAAATGATGAGGACACACAGAGCGACTCTGTTGTCTAAAAGAAAACCCCTGCTGCGAGCTGGGTAGCCGTCTACAGATGGGTAAGCATACTCTTTCACTTTTAACACTTCAGTCTGGTTCCTCTGACCAGTAATGTACTAAATCCATGTCATGTTCTCAGTGGGGCCAGAAGTAAAACAACAGCTCATTGGTTCAAAACAATGATTTTTGAGTTGGCTTTTTTTTTTTTTAAATACGCCAGCAAAAAACAAAACCAATCCATAAGCCAAGTTTCTTCCAACAACCTAGTGACAATTTCAGGTCAATGTGTCCTAGAAATAGACAATTATGTCAACAAGTATAGATGCTTCCTCCCAGAAAAACTCCTTTGCTCTACGCTGTCCTTTTTAAATGATTTAACTTTAGATTGGTAAAATAGAAAAGAAAAAGAAACGAAAACAGACCCACGTGGATCTGAGTTCAAATCCCCAACACAAATGCGAGGCATGAACACACATGACCGCAATCCCAGCCTGGGGACTGGACACAGACGGACCCTGGGAGCTTGCTGGACAGCCAGTCTAGCCCAGATGACAAGCTTTAAATTCAGGGAGAGACCCACTGGAATGCGGTGGAGAAGACATGGTGCTGGAGACTTGGGGTCTCCTCTGGCCTCCAGGCACATGTCACACACACACAATCAAGTTTAGAATCTGGTCTAAGGGCCAAGGATGCTGTTATGAATTAAATGTAAGGGGCTTCCAGGAGGATGTCCCACAGTGGAGGTGGGAACAGGAAATGATGAAACAGCAGCTGTCTGTCCAGCAAAATGTATTTGAGAGAGAAAACAGAGCTCAGCTGCTGACAGAGAAGAAGGGAGGCGCTATGGCCTTTCTAGCACTGGGGCAAGAGGGGAGAGTACGGTAAGATATAAATGACCATGTTGACGACATCATCACAGTCTGCTATCATTTCCCACCAGGCATGGCTAGCGCTAAGGATGGCAGCCTCGCTTCACACTAGCAGACCATCCACAGATGCCAATCCAAGCTGGACCTCTGTGGTTACATTAAAGGGAACACGATTACTTAGTTAACTGAGGACAATGCAGCAGCTAAGTTAAATAACTGGGCCCCAAAGCATTATACTAACTCCCCAGGTACACTGATAAATAAGGCAGTTGCTAAGCTCCTCCCCTTCTGACTACTGTTATATAAAATTCAGAAGCACTGTGACAATAAACTGCCCACAAAATTAAGGCCAGATGGCTGCCCATTATCTATCTCTGGTAAAAATTATGACTAACTGATTCAAATGTCACGCCTAGGGCTTCTAAAAGGACTGCCCAGTAGGTAAACAATTAGTCAGCAATGAAATGGGATACTGCAGATATCTGGGAATGCTGGGACTTTTTTCTTCCGTGCGTGCATGTGTGTGTGTGTGTGTGTGTGTGTGTGTACCTGTGTGTGGGTGTGCGCGCATGTGTGTACATTCATGTGTGTGTGTGTGTACATGCATGTGGGGGGGGCATGGGCGTGTGTGTGTGCATGTGCATGTGTACATGCATGCGTGTTGCATGTTCTTATGTCTAGCGGTCCACAGACGTGTGGATGCCCGTGGGTGACATCAAGTCCTACCTTAATCTCTCTCCATCTTATTCACTGAGGCTAGCCAGCCTGCTATAACCGCAGCACGGGGTGGGGGCAGGGCTCTATGCAAAGACACAAGGCTCCCAGAGTTTCTGTTTAATGAGAAACTAGAGCACGACAGAAGCGGAGGGAGCACTGGAGCTCCAGGGGCTGCCACACCCGCCCAGCACGCACGTGGGCTGCAGGTCACACACCCACGCGGCCAGGCTCCAACCACCGTGCCATCTCCCCAAGCTGGACTGCTATTTTCTGACTCACATAAGAGGGGGTTCCGTCTGGCTATACTTCTGTGTGGGCATTACATGTACAGCCTATACCTGTGACCTGTGGCCACCCTCCTGTGCCTGAGGTCAGAGGTCATCCTTGGACTTCAATCTCTGCATCCTGAGGGAAGAGCTGGAGGAAAAACATGGCAGCAGAAATTCTTGGATGCCTGCGCAGGGGCACCCCACAGCTCCCCGTGTCGGAATAAACATCCAGAGTGCTTTATACAGCGGTTTCTCTGGAGAAATGTGCTTAAAGTCACAAACAGAAAGCACAAACAGCCGTCTTCTGTGGCTCTAGGTTGGGAAAAATCAAATTCCTGCAGGGAGGAAATGCTCCTATCAAAATATTCAGAATGAGCTGTTCCCAAGAATGATGGGAAAATTCTGGAACTCGGCGAGTGGGAGACTAAGGCAAGAGGATCAGCAGTTCCCGAAATCAAATAGATAAATAAATGGGCGGGGGGGAGAGAATTCAGGTGCCATGGTACAGTGCTTGTCTAACACATAGGGCTGGGGAGCCAGCACTAAGGGGGGGACGCTTAAAATGGGGAGCCCTTCCAGCCTCAAATGGGTCTCACAAGGCCATCTGCATCAACAGCTCAACTCCTCCTCCTCCAGGAAGCCTTCCCTGATGAGCCCTGTCACCTAGGCGTTTTCTACCATACACCGCACAGCAATTGCTCTCACAGACTAAGCCTCTACATTTAGTGTCTCAAGCCGGAAAACCGGACTCCTTTCTCCAGTCACCTCTTGTTGGCAGCCCCACCCTTGTCCTATAGTTCCTATAGAACGTAGCGTGTTCTGCACAGGGGGGTGGCCCATGGGTACACCTGCAGTCAAGGGCACAAGGGGACCTGAACAGTGAAGGGGCTGCAATGCGTTTCTTCCTTCGTGGCCATGGACGTCCTACTCCAGTTTCTCCACTAACGTGGCATACAGATAGTATGTACTCAAGTCCACGGCAGTCTGTCAGGTCAGCCAAGTACACTAGGCTATGGCCAGGAAAAGCAGTGTCTAGATAGCTGAGAGAAGAGAGGAATACTTATCTGGGTTTGCCTGAATATGGAGGGAATAAAATGGGGTTTGTTCGAGGCTAGCCCAATATACATAGCAAGTTCCAGGTCAGCCAGGGATGCATGGTGAGACTGTCAATATATATATATTAAAATAGAGTTTATAATGGTGATTTCAGGCCTCTGGAGACAAAAGTAGATTTGTCTTTTTTAAGGAAAAATGTTCATGGAAACCACCTTCTCTTCAACGTGCTAATAACTTTTACTGCAGTGTGGTAGCCTCATTTTATAGGTTTCCCTCCATTACCTGACTAGGAACCAGGGTACATCCCATTATCTCCCACAGTATAGACAAAGGAGCCAGAGCTCAGAAAAACAACGCGAAATGCCCACAGCAACACAGCCAACAGCAGCGTGGAAGCCTGCACTTCCAGGCAAGGTCACCAGCTCTCCTTCACCCGCTTTGCCTGTTTAATTACTTAGTTTTCTTTCAGTGCGGCCACTGAGAAGTATGAAATATTGAAAGCAGGGTTTCTAGGACATGTTAGATGCTGTGGTCTGTTCATCCCCAAAGGTCTGGATGGCATCATCTGTTTATGGAATCTCATAGCTTGGTACGGGTCTGCAGCCTGGTCGTTAGAGTGATAGCAAAAATCCCAGCTCACAGTTGGAACAGATTCATCTCTGCATCAGGGCTTTCCTTTCTTGCCCTTCTAGCGCTCATCTTGATGCTTTCCCTTTCAGAAACTAAAATTCGGACCACCAGCTGACAGACAGAAAATAACAATGACCAAATCCTGAAAGCAGGACACGCAGGCTGGGGGATATTTGGGGGCGACTCCTCAAAGCCCAGGGCAGAGCCTGGTTAGAGATGATGCAGACACTCCCACTCACGGCGCCTTCTCCTTCCTGGTTTACAGGATGTACTCCCTACTCTCTGAACATAGAGCAATTTTTAGCAAAGAGCAAGCCAGGGAGCAGCGTGCTCGTGCATGCTCGGCCTTCACAAACAAAAGCAATCGTTAAGAACACGCACTTTGAGGGATCTTTCTCAATGTGATTATATTTCCCTTTACCCAATGAGAGATCTTCTTGGAAAAAAAAAAAAGTCAATCAAAGACTTTTAAAGAAAATTATTTTTGCCCCAAGAAATAGGATTCTTTTCTTTTCTTAAGATACAGTTCTAGCTTGCCTGGAACCCCCCACATAGACCAGGATGGCCATGAACTTGTGGTGAACTTCCTGACCCTGTCTCCTGAGTGTAGGATAACAGGCACAGATTACCAAGACTGGCAGAAGAAGCATGACTCTCTGTTTGTTTGTGGGAGATGGGTTTTGTTTTGTTTTGTTTTGTTTTGTTTTGTTTGGATGTTTTATATGTTTGTTTGATTTTAAGATAGCTTTGCTCACTATGAAGTAAGAAACAACTGAAGATGGTCTTGAACTTCTGACCCTCCTGTCTTACAGACCCACACCGCCATGTCCAGTTTGCTTGGTGTTGGAGATAGAACCAACTAAGCTATCTACCTGGCCCTGAAATACAATTTCTAGACTGCTTGGCTACACTGTAAGGTAATGTGTACATTAACATTCAGAACTACCTAGTCATCGCTCCGTTCACTTAACAACGGTACTTCTCTCTAACTCCAAATTTGACATGTAAGCTGTTAATAAAAATGTAAAGGCATGGGGCTGAAGTAACAGCTCAGCAGTTAGGAGCTTGTAACTAACATTCCGCGATATGATGCCCTCTTGTGGTATTCTTGGGTACCTACGTGTATACAGACAGCCACACATACACATGAATAAAAATAAATTCTTAAAAAATGTAAATGCACTAAACTTGCTCCACTTTTAAGAAAATCTGTTATGGATCCTTCTTCCAATTTTTGTTTTGTTGTTTTATTTTAACATTCTCAGCCTTTAAAAAAAAATTAACCAAACACATATGCAATGGGTTATATGGTACCACAGAATCTGGGGCCTGCACACTTGAGGCTTGGAGATTTTCCTCATTTCCATGTTTCAATGAAACATGGCCACTCCTGAGCTTGAATCCTGCCCTGGCTTTCATTTGCATATGGTGCTAACTAAGCTGAGTCACTGCTATAGGATTCTAGGAGCCCTGCTTCCCAGTGGCTGCCTGCATATCCCAAAGGCAGACCCTATTTCAAGACCAGGAAGGTCACTTGCTGAGGATAAACTTTCCCTGGGCCTTGACTCCCAGGTGTTCTTTTGTGTCTCTTGAAACAGACTGATTCCACAAGTATGACACTGACTGCTAAAAAAGATAGACGAAATTTGGCCAGTGACCTGGGCAGATTTCCAGGATGGCTCCCATCGTGCAAATGTTAAAAGTTTAGCCAGGCCTAGCACCACAGACGGTTCATCCCAGCTCACACAGAGAAGCTGATCCAGGAACACTGCAAGCTGAAGGCCAACGGAGTGAATTCAGGGCAAGCCTGAACAACTCAGTGAGAACCTATCTCAAAATAAGAAGCAAGCCAGGAAACACAGCCCAATGGTGGAAGTCCTGGCCAGCATGTACCATTGCAGACCTAACCACTTCAATCAATCAAAAAATAACTGCCAAGCCTTACGGTCTTGGCTAAGGGAAGTGGCAAAGAGATTAGCAGAGCACCCACATGAGCCTGGTAAACACTGCAGGGTCTGACTACTGCTTCCCTCACTGCTTAGGGTGGACTGTGACATCTGACTAAAGTCAGCTAGAGAAGCTAGGGACCCTGTCCAAAAGACTCTAAAACGCGTCAGCAGGGAATACCCCAAGCAAATCCAAGAGAAGCTAGTTTAATCAGGGCTGAATCTTCCAGTAAGTTACTTGATACAAAGCCTGGCTTAGCCAGGGGAATCTAGAAGCCCTACCCTGCCAATCAACGAAATGAAGTCGTGCACAGACACGTTCGGCTATATATTTAAGTGAAAATATATCAATAGAGGCCAATATCAATGCTTTATCACGCGAACCTGAGCATCTAGCTGCCGCAGCTTCTCAGTGAGAACCTAAACGGGCAGCCAGCCGGGTGGGTCTCCTAAGCAAGCAGAGCCACACAGAGGAGTTTCTGGAGCCCTGCAGGCTCCTGTTCCAACCCACTGGCACTCGGCCCCACCCCCATGCTTAGAAAAGTCCTGACTTGCTCAGCTGCACTTTTCCAGGAACAGGGTCTGGGAGCCAAGGGGTCGAGGACGCGCAAGTGGAAGGAGATGTGAAGGACCAGAGACACGTCCCGGAAATTCTGGCCCCCAGAAGGGTGCAGAGCCCGGTCGCAGGACCCAGGCGACAGTCCTACCCGCAGAATCCGGGCGCGACCGCCCCCGCACGGGGCACCGGCTCCCTCTCGGTCTTTCCAGATGCAGCCGAAAAGCTCCAGTCTTGAGAATGAGGATGGGGCCAGGGACCTGCGCGACCCCCGCTGCTGTCGCCTCCTCTCCCACGCCCCGCAGCCCCGCTTACCTCGGCCCGTGCCCGCGCTGGTGGCAGTGGAGTTCCCGCAACCCATCACGCTGCCTGCGGGGAAGCCGCGCTCTGGACCTCTCCGCGACCGCAGGTCCTGGAGGCGGAGACCCAGATGGAGGCGGCACCGGGAACCAGGGACAGCCCTAGCCCCGCCCCGCGCGGGGACCCCCCATGGACCCACCCGTCACCGCGGCAACCGAGGCGCCGGCCAATCCGCAGCTCCCTGCGCGCTCCTCAGCCGGGCATTGGTGAGGGTTCAGAAGGGGCGGGAGTTTGAAGTGGGGTGGGGGCTGGGGAGGGGACCAGGCCAAAGCCGGAGGCGTAGTCCGCACCTGGGCCGAGGAGTACGGAAGGGTCCCCAGCCCTCCCTCCTACCTATTCCCCTTACCTTCCTTTACAAGTCCTCTCCTTGTCCCCGGGATGTCTAGAGGAGAGAGATGACAACACCTGCCTTGCGCACATGGGCGTCTGTCTGGTATGGCTAAGGTTGACAGAGTCAATGATGTTCAGGTCTGAAGACGAAGCCAAAACCTCTCCTGCTTTCGAAGAAAGAGGTGACAGTTTCGTTCCCCACAACCTCCTCACCAAGAAAACTCGCCCAGGTTGGTCAGACCTAGTGCTGCTCCTCAAAATCAGTGTCTCCCAGACTGTAACGAGAGTCTCTCCCCGCTTTCCGATTTCAGGCAGGTCTGTGAACGCCTGTGGACACGCATAACTGGGGTCACAACCCCTGTTCTGCCCCCTGACAGCTGTGTGACATCAGAAGGGATACAGAGATGTGGATAACGGACTTAAGTACCCGCTCGGCGTCTGTGCCTCAGTCACGGCTGCTATCACACATCTTGGACTTCTGAGTAGGAATACAAGTTCCTTGAAGAGGAGGATCCTCTGTTTCTTACTGTCCCACTGGCTCACGATGCAGAATCAATAAAACTCACTGGGAGGGGAACTCAAGCCCGGAAACACTGCTTCGTTTAAACTCGCTTGGTATTTATAGAGAAGCTCGAGCTGTGCCAAGTCCTTTGCTGAATTCTGGGTTACAAACATGAGAGAGACAGCCTCCTCAGACAGACAGCTTATACACAGATTAGCTATGCTGTCACAGGGACACCAACGGAGTGACACAGGGAGGAAGGGCTTAAAAGACGGGCTTAACTCTGTAGGTGTGTTGGGAAAAGCATATAGGATCAAGGCTCAGGCAGATGCCTGATTGTGACCTCTGAGATCACAGGACTTGGGAACCCTGTTAGTCGGGAAACAAGCAATGCTGATACGGCGTCCTCCGTGGAAGCGTAGGTGCCCGTGACCCTGTTATTCTTGGACAAAATAAGGCGCTCTTCAAGTGTTGTGGGTTTCTTTTTCCACTTGTGACCAAATGCTTGACAAGAAGCAGCTGGAGAAAGGAAGGTTTTGCTCTGGCTGCTGGTTAGAGGGGAGTACAGTCCTCTACGGTGGAGAAGGGGGGGACCGGAAGCTGTTACAGGCTGAAGAGCAACAGCCTCTCTTCGCCAGGGGGTGCACCCCTAGTCCTAAAGTCCTGGACTTTAACTATCACCAAAGAGTGGCCCGAGGCAGTGACTCCAAGCTCATTGTCCTATGCCAATAAAAACTAAAGTTGCAGAATAGTAAGAAATTAAGAGAAAATGAGGCAGGTTGCTAAGATATAAAGATTTGGTGAAAGAGAGTTAAGCACTCAGCATCACTTCTAGCCCTGTGCATGCCCTAAATGCTGTGTTATCCTGACTCTCTCTTGCCTGGCTCCTCTACCTAATGGCCTGGGGTCTCTTGGAGGCCATCCAGCAAACTCAGCAATGCTGTGGTTGCTGAAAGCCTTTCCTCCCTGTGTCACTCTGTTGGTGTCCTCTGTGGCAATGTAGCTAACCTGTTTATAATCTGTCTGTCTGCGGAGACTGTCTCCCTCATCTTTGTAACCAGAACTTCACAAAGATCTTGGCACCACCTGGGCTTCTCTATAAATTCCAAGCGAGTTTAAATCGGAGCTTTATTTCCTTGCTTTCTCTCAAGGCTTGTCTGTCTGAGTCTTATCGTGTCCTCCTGACTGTCCTGTACCCAGCTGCAGGTGTCTCTTTTCTCGCCCTCCGTGCTCCTGGCTTCACTGTTTTAAGCTGTGCATTCTCTTTGAACTCCAACTTCCATTCCATTGCAGTATCTGTGAGTAACTTGGAGTTTGCATCATGAGCCCTTTTCTCTTTGGTCCATTATGAACTAACTGCTGCTTCAGGTGGCTGGTCTCACTAGGTCAGCAAAGAGCAGACAGGAAAGGAAGCTGTATGGAGAGCCCCAGGGCCCACACCCACGGATCTGCTTCCTCCAGCAGTCTCCACCTCTTCGATGCTCCACAGCCTTCCAGCTGAATGCCCCCCTGGAGACTAAGCCACGGTATGCTAGTTTCCACCTTGGTCTCTGCTGTCTTGTTTCAGGGGCCACCCCTAAGGGGTGGTGCCACTACCAGATAGGCAGAATTACTGCTCTTTAGGTCTGTGGGTCTGACACCGAGCTCCTCTCCTGAGATTCCTAAAAGAGCAGGGAAAGCATACCACGAGATCCAGACGCTGTTTCAACACCTCCAGCTGCTCTGTGGCAGTTTCCACCCAGGATAATGGCACAGAACACCACCCCAGGCCACTCTCACTGGAGAGTAGAGACACAAACCAAGACCCCTGTCCAATACTGCCAATAAGTCACTGAGTAAAGAGAGAACATGCCCTGTCCTGGCTATTTGAGCAACGGCTGCCACCTTACCAACTGCTGATGGTTTGTGTCTAGGTCTAGTCTTCCTGACCTACCCATGGGACTGCCCTGCTTCCTGGTGATATCTAACCCAGGGGGAAATCTCGGTTCATAACTCCCAGCAAAAGAACCCTCTAGGGACATAAATCATGTAAGTTCTCTCCCCACATCCTCTTGTAGATAGCTCATGGCTCTCCATGCAGCTATTTGTGAGTGTGTGTGTAAGAGAGAGAGAGAGAGAGAAAGAGAGAATGTACAGTCATAGACCTAACCTGCTCAACCAAAGATGTGTTCCTTGGCTGGAGCCCTGATCTTTGTTAACACCCTACTCCCCCTGACATTGTTACAGCATGTATCCGTTCTTTGAACAATCACTGTTCAGCATCTCCCTCAGGGCCAGTCAGCGCTCCACATGCATGAGAGATGGCCGTGAACAAGATGAAGGAAAAGTCTAGGAAGAATAGACAAAACAGGCAATTTTAGACACCACAAATCCAATGGAAAAAACAAAATAAAGCAAGTCCCTGGAATAACGGCTCAGGATGGAGACAGAAATGGCAGTGCTTTAAGTAGGTGGTAACATGGGATGAGCATTTAGAGCGGTCTGCTGGGGGAGACTCCAAGATCCAAGAAGATTCCAGACAAAAAGAATGACAAAGCCCTGAGGCAAGAGTGTGCTGAGTGTGCTCCACCAATAGGAAAAGAAAAAAAGAAATGAAAAAAAGGCCAGGAGACCAGGCTAAAGGCCAGGTGGGGGCTGGGAAGCAGAGGGGGGTGCTAGGACTGTGGTGAGTTTAGTCCAAGGGCAACACAGGGTCAGCTGCGAGGCAATGAAAATTCCTAACAGATGGAAATAGAGAGCAAAGAGCAAGCACGCTGCCTTCTTTTCCTTTTTAGGAGTTGTTTTGTTTTATTTTATCTTATAGACAATGGTTTGTTACATTTAGATGTTTCTAAACAGTCAAAAGCAAATCATTGCTGCGTGTCCCATTTTCTTACTGATCAATGTTGGCTTCGCTCTCTGCGGTGGGAAAACCACACCACTCAGCCTTGTTTCCGCCTTTGAACAGCAACCGCTTTGTGGAAAGGAGAGAGAAGTGTTTGAGTCCGCTCTGTAGGAGACAGGAAGCTGTGAAGCAGAGGAAGTCTCCCCGCCGTGTGGGGCCATGTTGGACAGCCTGGATTTCGTTTACATTTTTCCTTCTTTCTACTTTGGCAAGAAAGCTGCCCTGGCCCCTAAGCACACTGCATAGAAGACACTCTGTGAATGCACATTCCCACCTTGCGCTTACTTCAACTTCAGGAGGCACCTAGCACTCTGCTCACATCTCATGGGCCAGAACCATCCTTCCTCCAATGGATCTTCAGAAGGTCAGTAGCTCAACACTGTGCTGCAGTGCCTGTCATTCCAATCAGCTCACCTCACAACCTCACGAGGAAAAGCATGAACGCTGAGGCATGCCACACACATATCATCTTATGGCAGTATCTGATTAAAACTGTCCTGAGTTGTGCCTGGAGAGACAGCTCAGTAGTGAAGAACACTTGATGTTCTTGCAGAGGAGCCAGTTCACTTCCCAGCATGCATATGGCAGCTTACAACCATCCATAACTCCAGTTCCAGGGGAGGATTCAGTTCCCAGCACACACATGGTGGCTCACAACCATCCAACTCTAGTTCTAGGGATATGGTGTCCTCCTGTGAGCTCCAGGAGATACACATCAGGCAAGGCACTCATACATGTAAAAATAAATAAATGCCTTAAAATTTTTAATGTCTCATTTTATTATTACTTAGTTATTGTTAAGTTCTCACTGTGCTTAATTTTAAACTCAGTGCATGTAGATGTGATGTGTGTGTGTGTGTGTGTGTGTGTGTGTGTGTGTGTGTGTGAAAACATAAGTAAAAGAGCTGTGTTTTCAGGCAGCTAAAGTGTGCCTTTGGTAAGATCAACATAGATAGGGGAGGATTACTGTAGTTAACTGAGAGGGTTGTTTGAGACATGGGCTCCTGTAACCCAGACTACCCTCAGGTTCACTGGACAGCCTTGAACTTCTGGTGTTCTCTCTGATCTCCCACGGGTTTAGATTATAGGCTTGCTCCACCACACCCAGCTTTTACCACCATCAAAAGCCCAGTGCCACCTGTTCTTAACCACATGTCATTTTCTCCAGGTTCAAAGTCCCAAAGGGAAAGCCCAAGGTGAAATGATTTCTGAGATGAGGAAGAAAGAGAAGCTGCCATCCCTTAAATTAAAATGCTGGAGGACCAGTGATGACTTAAGAAGGACAAGATTTTCCTCAGACCCTGAGAAGAATGCTCGTTTTCTGGGTAGTTAGAAAGGCAGTTGTCCCATGGTGTGTAATCGTTTGAGTATG